TTTCCTGCCTAGTGAAGCCTTTTGACTATCCCTTTATTTCATAGTAATTTATGTTTTCCCTCCCTTATGGTTTTGGTATATTACTTGAAGTCTTTCTTCCCTCTATGTTGTGTCTTCGTACTAACCATTCACTCTGTTTACACTTAGTGATGTCATCAACTTCTGATATTTCTTTTTATGAAAGTCCTCTGTCATGATTGAGCTATTTTGCTTGTAAATGCTGCTCTCATCAAACGTCTTGTGCATGGGAGCTCCATTGGGAATATTTATTTTTATTTATTTTGCATTTATTTTTCAAGTAGAGATTAGTGTTGCTATTTCTTCAGATCTGATAGTCTCTGCTTGAAACTAAGTGGCTTGTTACCACAGAAGACTGAAGCAACTCCAAGGATGACTTGACTGGCCATTTATTGATATTAAATTCATTGTCTATCCTATTAACAGAATTTTTACAGTTGAAGTATACATTTCAGGGAGGGTGTTTGCTTTTGATATTTCTTTTTGCTTGTTGTACTCTTGAGTAGTGTAATGGACTAAAGTTGATCTGATCATCTAAATGTGTTCTTTGCAGAACAATGAATTCATTGATATGGTATACCGGGAGATGCTAAATGCACATTACCCATGACGAGCAAAAGATTTGGGTGAGAGATGGGACGATTCTCGGTGCATATAATTACTAGTCGAGCTGCTTTTTCTTGTAGAGCTATTTGTAAATCTTTCGAGTGGCAGATAACGACATAGAACTTTTGTTCATATAACTTTTTCCTTTTATATTTTTTTGGGATTGTATGTAGATGGGAGTATCTAAAATTTTCTTCTGGTATGCTATCTGATCTCACTGGGAATTCAGCACGAGTTCATATGTTGCCTGAATTTTCTTACCAACATGGACCGACCTGCGTGACTGACAGATGCATCAAACAACATGAGTTCATCTTGTTGCTAAAGTTTACTTGTATTCCGTAGGCTCTACAGCTGAGAGATGTCATCACACCATGTTTCTATTACGTAACAATGTCTTGATATATTTTGGTTGTCCGATATTGACTTGGGTTTGGAGCAAATCGAGGTCCTATGTCAAGTTTGTCTTAAGTTGAGGTGTTGAGAGTTTGGGGATCTCGGTCTAGACATGTAAAAAGCTATGTTGAGAGTGGCATGCTTAAGTTAATACAGATTTAGATGGTTTGATGAAGTGTTGAAGTTGATAAATGTGTTTCAAAGACTCTTGAGAATACACCTTTGGGAATTTTTTTTATAGTATGATGGGTGATTGGTGGATTGAGATCAATGTTGGGTCAATGTTGGGAATAGCTACATGCTTAAAATTAATCTAATCACTTTTTTGAGTTTGGTGATAGCATTATGGGTATAAAATTTTTAACAAGGTTTTTAATTTTTGAACGATAGATGTGATATATAATGATATTTTTAATTTTTAATTTTGAAATGATGGTTGTGATATATATATATATATATATATATATATATTAATAATAAT